CAGCTTCCTACGGAGGAGATTGATCATCCACAGTGTTTCCAAGTCTGATGAAGGATCCCTACCAAGTGCAAGAATCTCCTGAGGCTGAGAATCAGGGCAAGAGAGCTGGTTGGCTGTGCAGAGGTGAGACAAGCATGTTTCAAATTATTTCCTATAATGTATAATAATTATCATTTTATACATACTAGAAATCGCCTGGCTGTGCTCCACAGACCTTGAAGCAAGTCGTTGAATCTGTTCATTAATACCCTGTAAACTAGTTGTCAGAACCCCCCAGTGCCGCAAAGCTCAATGGTTGATATTAGTATGCGTGAAACCAATGCTTGTGAATGCTAAAGGTGTTTTTCAAAATTCCAATATATAAAGTTTTGTAAGCACTGCATCATTCTCTTTTATTTTCACTTTTGAATATTTTCAAACCCAGTTTTGGCTATCTAAACAACATGTTGCACCAATCTAATGTCTGCAATGAAATTACAGCACATTCTAAAGTTACAATAACTGTGCTACTCTCATTCCAAAATGTCTAAAGATAACGTCCCCTCGTGAATCCTACCCCCCTCCAATCCTAGCATCCTCGCAATCCTACAGTCCTCCAATCCTACATACTCCCAAATCCTAGCATCCCTCCCCAGTTCCACCCCATGGATCGTTCTTACTGTTATACTGCTGGTTCTGCTGATGGTGGTGGGGACTACTTCACCTTCCGCAATGGTCGTTGGCACAGAGGTACAGATACATTTCACATAATTTGTTTCCTAGTGCAGCTCATAGCTATTACTGTGTAAAAAGCACTCTTCCCTAGGTGTTTATGCCAGTGTCTGTAGTTGGTTCTCTTTTATATCCCCAGTTTGGCCCCCATGGATTACTCCTTTTAACAAGCCAGTTCTGCTCCGCTTGTTATGGCTTTGTTTTAAACATGTCACATTTAGTTCTGGCAGAAAAAGTGGGCTTGTTGCCTTAATTTGCATCATTAAGTGTTTTTAATTCTACTATTGGAAATTGAAAACTAATAAGATTTGGGAACTGAAACCAACAATAATCAGTGTTGTGCCCTGAAGGCCCGCCCACGGACCATTAACTGGTAAGTAACAGTAACTAGAAATTTCGCTAAAGAAATGTTGAGTTGTGCCTGACTCTGGCCCCGTATATATTAATAACATGTCATAAACATCTGTACCCGCTATGTGTGTGAGAGGAAGGCTTTTGGTTGTCGTGAAACCAGGGGAGGCCAGGCAGGTTAGTCCTAACTCCTGAGAGAGAGGCCGTGAGAGGGTGTTGCTGGCGCAGCGTGGCGTTTACCGCCAAAAACTATTTGTCTGACAGGCTTCAGCAGTGGGTAATTACTGCGACCGAACGAATTTACCTACGTTTCTATCTATAAATTATTTCTGTACAGTGACATTTGGGAAATTGAAAGAGCCGTTTACGCAAAAAAAATTTTTCGACCCAAATGTTTCTCTCTCCTCTACACTCTAGTGATATGTACACACTCTAGCTGTGAGGCATTCACCAATACACACCCATCACTAATCTTTGGCCTGGGTTTTTGGCCGATTATCGGCCAAACTGTTTGGTGAAAGCTTAGAAAGGTCATAGCCATTGTCCACCAAGGCGAGCCGCCACGTCTTGATACTTTTTTTGTTTATTGTGGGGTTGTTACTGGTAACCCAACAGGACACTTTGGCAAGCAAAATGGGTGATCTACTCACAGAAAAGACGCTCCTGTAGTGCTACTAGAGGTCAAAAACCCAACAGTGTATGGACTTATAAGATCAAACCCTTCCTTATGACACAGTATTTTAGGACCATGATTTTTTCCTGGATATCGACGAAAAGTTATTTGTACGTTGAACAAACATAACAAAACCAGTTTACAGCAGGAAGTTGCCCTTTATAATTTGCTGTATGCAGGAACTAAAAATATCTTTATCTTCTGTCCCTGGTTTTCTATTGAAGGGCAGTTATTTTCCTTGTACCGGCAGTATTGCGGGGCTACGCTGCCACCCAATAATACATGGATCAGACTCAGCTGAGGATCGAAAGGTGAGAACACCAAACCATGTATCAGTATAATGCTTGCTAGGAAGGTCTATTAACCTACCTTCCTTAATTAGGAATACTCATAAATTTGTCTGTGGCATGCCGGTGGTGCTTTTCAGTCCTCTAGCTGTGGAGGCAGTGCAGGCTGATGCAGACACACCCACCGGTAATGCTGTCCGTAAGTGAAGAGAAGAAGAAAGGTACTTTTCACCTCTGGCAGTTTTAGACTTACTCAATGTCACATACACATACTTCAAAAGCCATTTACAGAGTAACACATCTACATTGTTTCTATATTTAATTGTGTAACAACTTCAATAATACATGTATCACCCACTAACGCCCCACATGAATGTTAACAAGCAACAGTAGACACAAAAGTGAAAACAGCTTTAGTGGCACATTGAGCTGTCCAGACAATTTCCGTCTTTGTCACATGTGAGCTGCTTGTAATGAATTTGAGCCCTCCTGGCTCCAACGCACCAGAAAACAAACCACAGAGAGAGCAGGTCTAAAGGCGCCTCCAGGGTGTTAGTAGAGCGGATCATGAGTTGGCTTTAATGCTGCACAGAAGAGCTGAACTTGAGACCTGCATTCAATATAAAGTTCCTGTGTCATTCTTTATTTCCCTAAACCTTAAAAGAACACACTGACTCTTTCCATTTAGGGAGTCACCATTAAGTGACACCCTTGATTGTCAGCATGAGGGTTGCTAGGCAACCAGTGGAAGCTCCCAGGAAGTCCACCATTTTGACTTTTTTTTTTTTTTGAGCCGTGTAAACTATGTTTATTTAGGCAAGGCTTAGAGGTGTTGGTAAGTGTACTGTTGAACTTTAACAAAACAAGGCTACCTGTTTCCCCTGCTTCCAGGCCCTTTATGGCAAGCTACGCTAATCTCCTCCCTGCTCCAGGGCCCTAATTTAAGCAGACAGGATGTAGTATAAGTGGTACTGATGCTTGTCTAGCTCGTAGCCGAGAGTACATTTCCCCAACATGTCAAACTATCCTGATTGCAGTTAAAAAGCATTCAAAGGGGAAAAAAAACAGACTAAACACTGTCTCTCCTCTGTCAGATGAGGATGAATCGTTGTCAGGATCTGTTTACTACACCTTGGACGCTGGATTGAAACCTCCCAGGGTCCAAGGTGAGAGTTATTGTGATTAAAAAGCCATTAATGAGTGGACCACCACTGACTTAGTAATAAAGGAAGTTGAAATAAGTGTTCTAGTAGTAAATGTTTTTGGGCAACATACTGACTGAATTTCATATATTTTCAAAAGCCCCAAGCCAGGAGCATTCAGTGTCCACAGCGAGATGTTGGTCCCCTCCAAAAGGTTCCAACCACCTTTAACAGAGGAATGCCTTCTATTCTACAATCCAGCAGGTAAGACTGAGAACAATACATACCTTCTATGCTGCATTAACATCATACGGGATGCACGCTATACAATGGAAAGATTGCTGTGTCAAGCGTTCAGCATGTTTAGACAACTCCAGGCCCGGTTGTATGATTGCAGATTGGTACCAATACATTATACATATAAATAGGAATTGTGGGAATATATTTGAGCTTTCAGAGTTTCCAAGATGTACTTATGGGTCAGATGTCGACATGTATGCTATTTACAGTCAGGAACTCATATATAGATAATTCAATAGGACTTGAATGCAGCATTAATGTTTCATCCAAGCAGAGCAAGCCACAGTAATTCTGAATATACTCTGTCCGCAGACTCCTCATGCGTTCAGTGGTTTTACCATTAAAAAAATGTTGTACGCAAATAAGAATTCCATAATGAAGTCCTATTTCACTCCTGCAAAGACAACAGAAAGTATTTTTTCCCCAGGATCTAGCTGGAAGTATATAATAACTTGTCCTTTGCGAGTACCAAAGCAATTGGCACAAATGACATAACTCTTGTTATGTAATGTCAAACAATCGCAACGTGCAAATTTAATACATATTTTTGATAGTTCATCCAGTTAGTAGTTGATAAGATACATAGTGTCTTTGCTGCATTGTATAGGATGATAAAACTACATTCTGTCACTGATTCAGTTATTCTTATTTTATTTACCCAGCTGGAGCTGCAGATGACTTCTCATTAAAATCGACTTTATGCTTAACATCTCACCTCTGACAGCCAGCCAGCTTCCTGGTGATGTTTCTCCACTAGAGGTGCTGCACTTGTAGAGGCCTTCATCAGACTTGGAAACATTGTTCATGGTTATTTCTTCTGCAGGACTGCCCTGCATGAGGACGCCATCTTTGTAAAACTTAGCTAAGAGCTTGTTAGATGTTCTGTGGCTTCTGCAGTACAAAGTCACAACGTATCCCTCCATCACAGGAAGAACAGGACTGTCCAAGATCACAGAATCAGCTGAAGAAAAATATTAGACATTAGAAATTGAGAATAAAAACTGCATTGTGTGGAATGCACATTATATACTACATTAGAATGTAGAGGTACGGTGCAGAGAATGCAATAAAACAAAATCAGAAAGGGACAGAACAAATAAACCAGAAACAAAATAAAAATGTGAAGCTGTGTATCATCTACAAGGTAATTATTATTAACCACATGTTCCCTGATATCCCAATGGCAGCATTTAATGCTAAAAAATGTGCATACTTCAGTAGAAGGGAGCTTTACGAGATATCTAAAAATCAGTCTCAGACATAAGTATAACAAAGTTATTGAACACTCTGATCAATAAATTCTCTACATAATATAAATACAGTTAAAAGAAAACACAGGTACTTTGTAACCTCACACATTTTTTTCAGATCAAACAAATCCTATAACTAATAATAACTACTCCCACTATATCTACTGGACTGGATGCAACTGAACTTCAGTCAGGTGGAATTAATTCCTATTTGAATTGACTTTACAGTAAACACCAGTAACTGGTTGATACATTAAAAAGGTTGTTGCTGCGTTATATAGCATTATAAAATGTAATAAACTCAACTCTGTTACTGATTCAGCTATTCTCACTTCATTTGACCAGCTGGAGCTGTAAATTACTTCTTATTTAAAATGACTTTACACTAAACATCAAAAATTTGGCTTTTATTGTGTAATACTGTTATATATGTCTCACCTCTCACAACCAGCCAGCTTCCTGGTGAGGTTTCACCAGCAGAGATTCTGCACTTGTAGAGTCCTTCATCAGCCTTGGAAACACTGAGGATGGTCATCTCTCCTGTAGAGCTGCTCTCTATGAGGAGGTCATCTTTGTAGAAATCAGACAGCAGGTTGGAGATAGTCTTGTTTCTGCAATGCAGAGTTGCGTTGTCTCCCTCCAAGACAGGAAGAGCAGGACTGCCCAAGATCACAGAACCAGCTGAAGGACATAATAAATATTAGACATTAAAAATGTCATTTCTATCACTTTAGTGTCACACTTAACATACTAAGCATCAGGTAGATCTGTGTTTTCTTCAGAAATACAGTAAACATACCGGTGATAGTGATGTTGACTCTGTTACTTGTTTTTCCTCCGTTAGTCTCACACCAGTATTCTCCACTGTCTTCTGGATAGGCTCTATCAACTGTGCAGAGGGACCCTGTTGGTGTCCTTTTAGTGTCACATTGTGGAACAAATTCCTCAGTATTCCTGATCCTCTTCAACTGAGTGGACCCATCACTCCCCTCACAGTGAAAAGACACAGACTCTAATTGAAAGTGCTGCAGTCTGTTTGGAGTGATACGAAGAAAAGCAGAACCTGAAACTGATAAAGATTTTATTTTTTCCCAAAAACTGTTCCAAATAAAACATCAAAAACTGAACAATTATGTCTATGACAGATTGAACTAAATCAAGATAAATCAACTTTACAAAAGAGTATTTTTTTCTCATTGCTACTCACCACTTCCCTGAGTATAATGATTCTGAACTTGTGTCCCCAGCAGAATGAAATCAAGGATCACTGAATAAATAAAGGAGGAAAGTTGTATATCAGCCATAGATGCTTCAGTGTACAAGAATATATAAAAACTGAGACTCAGCACTCACACAGTCTGAAGCAGAGGGATGTGATCTCCATGTTGTCTTGCTGCTGAATGTCTGAACATCACACTGACATACAACAAGTATGTAACCTATAACTTCCTCTTCCTGTACAGTTTACTTATGACGCTGATACAAAAGCTGTAGCCCACTCAAGGGGGTTGACCCTTTACTTATCTTGAAACATTGTATTTTACATTTTTAAAGTGAGTCTTAAAGCAATGCTCACAATCACAGTTATTGCTCACTTCATACTGAAAAAAGTTTGAAAGATGTTGGTGTCAGAGAAAGCCTCACGAAGAACTAATGAGTTGCACCGGGGATTATGGGAAATTATGATATTTTTGGATTTCGCACCCTATTCCTGACTAAAAATAAGGATGTCTCAGCCTTTTATGCTTCAATTGTCCAGTATTCCAAGGAATTGCATCCATCTGGTTGCAAACCTCAGGATTTACGTCCAGCAAATCCGGCAGCTTCCAAACCAATGTGGAGGGGTAGAATACTTGTGGCTGGAATGTAATGTGTCTGGATTTGACGTATGAAGTAGTATAAAATTTAAATAATGAAGTCAGGTACAAGTAGTAAAATTATACATCATTTTATTTATTTTAATAACCATGACCAGGAATGTAAAAAGCTTGCATTAGGCTACAAGGAAACTACACCACAGTTGAATGAATTCAAGTTACCTTCACTAAACTTCCAACTTGTAATTGAAATTTACAAATTGGAAAGTTAGTTTCCAAGAGCGCGGACATAAACACAACAAGGCTTTAAAGGCGGAAGTGAGTAGATACGTGTTCGTGTTTGGCATGTTGCTGTTTAATGTCACAGACAACATTCATAGTCATTCATAGTCCTTCTAAGTCATTTAGCCATGTTTTTTTAAGACATGTAAAAGCTTCAAAAGTCACAGGTGGTGTATGTAGAACAAAACATGTAAAATCTCTTAAGCCTGTGTTAACCACAGACCTTATCTAATCAAAAAAGGTTAAAAACATCTGTCAATCACCAGAAGGGAAACAGGAAGAGGAGGAGCAGGTTCTGACTTACATGATATCGTAAATTCAGTCTAATATTCAAACACTCTGCAGCACGACAACATGAAGGTTACAGCTCTCTGTATCAGACTGCGTGAGTACGGAATCTGTCTCAACCCTACAATACTGAGTCAATCTTTGTTAAATAACATGTGGTACTGAATAGTTTCTTGTGGTCATGAGGAGATTTTAAATTGATTATACAATATATTATGTACATTTACATGTTACAGCTATGTTATATATGTTATCTGTCTTCTACAGTATGACACTCTCTTGTCTCTCCAGTGCTGACTGTATTGTTGCTGCTGGTCGCACAAGTTGACTTCAGTTATTCTCAAAATGCTGGTAAGTAGCAGTTAGATAATCAGTCAAACTGTACAATGGGTGTAAATGTGCATATTTTGTATTTTGTGTCATTTGAACAAAAATAGGTTAAATAGGCATAAAATGAATAACATGTTTTAGTCAACATGAGGGAAATTGTGTTTTTAAGGTTGCTCCATTTATACTGACAAAGAGACGTAATGTTTTTCAGGATTTTAAACAAATTAGTGCATGTGTGTAATAGACTAGTTTGAATTTAAAATCAGTTTGTTAGAATAGAAGACATTTCAATGAAAACTATTTATTTTTTATGTCTCATTCTTTGTGTCTGGCTGTACTTAGAGGAAGTTTTCCTCAGGTTGTCTCCTAAACCAGTTGCAGCACTTCAATATGATTATCCATTGTTGTCAGCTTGTGAAGGACTTGGAGGGTGACTGGATGGAGAGTGCATTGAGGGATCATCAGAGGAGTTGTTAAAGAGAGAGATGTGCTACTAGGAGGCTGGTCAGCATCACAGGACCCTGCAGAATTACAACTGTGTTTACTTCAGGACCTTGAAGTGGAGAATACCTAGGTCGTCGAACTGGTGAGTAGGTAAATTCAGACGTAATAGCACCCAATCACTCGTACAAGGAACATCACTGTCACTGGTATGTAAATACACCCACAGGAGAGTTCATAACAGTCAAATACACACAGACATAATACACACTATAGATAGATCTGCTCAGAAATCAGCCTCAGCCAAACTCACCTGAAATCAGTTTTTTGCTGATATTGTATTAACTTATTTTCCATTGTAAGTGAAAGATTTATGTCTGTTTTCAACATAAAATAATTTCTACCCTTTTCACACTGTTACACATTTTTAACATGTAACGTGTTGTTCAGCTGGTTCTGTGATCCTGGACAGTCCTGTCCGTCCTGTGATGGAGGGAGACAATGTGACTCTGAGCTGTAGAAAGAAGCTGACGTCCTCCAACTTTACCGCTGAATTCTTTAAAGATGGCCACTTCATGGAGAGCAGCTCTACAGGAGACATTACCATCACCAGTGTTACCAGGTCTAATGTAGGACTCTACAAGTGCAGAACCTCTGATGTTGGAGAATCGCCAGAGAGTTGGTTGGCTGTCAGAGGTGAGATTTTTTTGTACCTTATGTTGAGTTCCAAGTTGTAAATGTCAACTTGTATCTGAGTTTACCCTGCTCTGTGCTCTGTGGTTGGTTGAGTATGAGTTACAGTTAAGAATAGTTAATAAAACTATAAAAGCTGTTGAAACCTGAGGACTTTGGCCTCTGATGTGGGTTTAAGCTGTTTTGACAGAACTGATGCTCAGGTTTGAAATGTTATAAGGAGTTCGGTCTAGACCTGCTCTATTTGAAAAGTGTAATGATAGATGTTATGAATTGCCGCTATACAAATAAAATTGAATTGAATTGAATTGAAGTTCACATTTCAGAGAAATGTTGGATGTTATTCAAGAAATGGACGGAATGGAAGTATAAAGGTTTTTTTTTTT